AGGTCAATTCCTCCCAGTGACACCAACAGCAATCAAGTCTCAACTACAACAAGACTGTGCTCACAGCCCACAAAGGGGTACACCTAGAGCTCCCAGCTCAGGTGATTGAGGAGGCTGAGCCACTGGGCCCTATAGGACACCTACTACACAAAGCCACTCTATCAACTCAAGGAGACTTAGCAGCTCCACTCAATACATAGGAACAAACACAGGGAAGCAACCAAAATGTGGAGACAAAGAAACATGTTACAAATGAAAGAAATAGAAGAAAGCAAAAAAGCTGGATATAGAGTTCAAAATCACAGTTATAAGGTTATCAAGAATCTTCCAGAAATTTCCAAGGGACTTAGTGAGACTTTCAAGGATTTTAGTGAGAATGACCAAAAAATAAATAAAAAAAAATAAATGGAAAAGGACCAGTCAGAAATTAAGCATACACTGACTGAAATAAAGAATAATATAGAGGAATTCAACAGTAGACTAGAGGATCCCGAGAATCAAATCAATAATTTGAAATATGAGGAAGCAAAAAACACCCAACCAGAAGAGCAAAAAGAAAAAAGAATCTAAAAATATGAAGATAGTGTAAGGAGCCTCTGAGACAACTTCAAGCATATCAACATCAGAATTATGGGAGTGTCGGAAGAAGAGAGAGAGCAAGATATTAAAAACCTATTTGAAGAAATAATGACAGAAAACTTCCCCTACCTGGTGCAAGAAATAGACTTACAAGTCCAGGAAGCACAAAGAACCCCAAACGAGGAATCCGAAGAGGACCACACCAAAGACACGTCGTAATTACGTCCAGGAAGCACAGAGAACCCCAAACAAGAGGAACCCAAAGAGGACCACACCAAGACATATCATAATTAAAATGCCAAGGGCACAAGACAAAGAGTGAATCTTAAAAACAGCAAGAGCAAAACAACAATGAGGTACCATCTCACACCTGTCAGAATGGCTATCATCAACAAATGACAAGTGCTGGAGAGGATGTGGAGAAAAAGGAACACTTCTGCACTGCTGGTGGGAATGCAGACTGGTGCAGCCACTGTGGAGAACAGTATGGAGTTTCCTCAAAAAGTTAAAAATGGAACTCCCATTTGACCCAGTGATCCCACTTCTAGGAATATATCCCAAGAAAC